ATCTTTAAACTGTAAACCAAACACCCCACAGGCACGGTCAGCACGGTGGTGGGGGGATGACGATTTGGGCATTTTGCAGCCTGAGTTGATGATGAGCTTCTCTTTATAATCAGTCAGATGCGACTCAGCAGCAAATCTACAGCAGACTGGCTGAAAAGGAAAAGAACGGAGGAGCTGCAGAGTCCCGGTCAAAGTCCAGACCTCACTCTGACTGAAATGCTGTGGTGGGAAGAAGAACAAAATGCCTCCACAGCGATGCTAAAGACTGTTATTTGAAGTTACACCTGCTAAAGGTGACTGTACAAGCTACTGAACACTGTCTCAGGACTTGAGTTTTTTCCAGAGTCCTGGGAAAACTTTCTTTTTCACGTGGCTGCATAATATTGAGCACTGTTTCATAAATGCATGAACATGCAGAAACCTGCAGAAACGGAACGACACGCCCCATTAATCACTGACTTTAAAGAGGGCTGCTCACAGAAAACCTGAAACATGCTGGAAGGATTTCACTCTCCAATAAAAATATTTTCTATTAGAATTTAGAGGATATTTGACATGACCTGAAAAAGCTTTATGAAACTCAGCACGTTTGAAGATGAAGATGAAGATGGGGTAAAAGAAGCTGGACGTCACAGATTTTTGGGCTCACAGTTTCAGACACTCACACTCAAGTTTGAAGCCGTTTTGACATCTCACCTCTCGTTTGTTGGCACGAGTCTCACTCCTGCCCGTCCTCAACGTGGATGCTCCCGTTTCCTGTTCTTTCCTGGTGGCCTCCGATCTGTTTTTGCTGGAAAACAGGAAGAGCTGATTAGATTCTCCTTCCACTCAGGTACAAGGACCTTAACGGGATCCTGTACTAGCCTGTGGATGCTCTCCTGCTCACATTCATCCTCCGGGATTTCAAAAGGTCAAAAATGGCTTTTTTGTATTAAATCGAGGCAAAAGTCACCAAACAGAACTTTAAAACAGAAACCCAGACTTGTGGTATTCATATAGATAAGGACACATGAGGCTGTGTCACCTTTAAAGTAAACCTGGATGAAGCTGATATGAACTGAGTGTTTCTTCTTGTCATTTCCAGCACACTGTGGAGGCTTTTTATAAGAGGCCTGTTTCTTTAACTCCTTCCTGAATGTGAGGATTTGGTGGTTCAGACATCCGTGCCCTCAAACTGAGGTTCGTTCCCTGATTGGCAGGCAGACTGTCAGTGTTGAGGTCCTGAGAAACAATGCCGAGGATATCTAATTACACCAGCGTTTTGGAATTTCTGACCTTATTTGGGGGGGAGGGATAAGGATTTTGTGTTTTCGTTTCCCAAAAAGGCAACAAGAGCGAAGAGCTGACATGATTTCTCCTCACGTGACCCGTTCGCATGCTGCTGGGGCACAAACTGGGAGGGTTTCTCTTGGCTAAATATAAAAATGCAGCAGTCAGATCTCTAATGGAGGGGTAGAGCGTGAGGCTTTGATCTGCCGTTTAGCGGTGTGTGATGCCTGTTCGGCTTTATGCTGGGGGAGGCATTGGATGTCCTTTGTGCTAATTGCTTGCACATTTCTCTGCCAGTGCGCTTTAAATGGCTCTGATGAGTTACCCACAGATTACACGCAAACATAAATAAGAAAAGAAAAAGCTGCTTGCTCCAAAACACGAAGATTTATGTAATCATAAAACGAGCAGGAAGCAGCTTGGCTTCTAACCTCCCGTCCTGCCTCTGGTTCTTGTTGTTTGCTGATGTTTGGATGTTGTTGGGTTCAGTCAGCCGGTTGTTTCTGCCGGGGTCGGAGCTTTCAGAGGCCGCCGAGTCTGAAGAACCGACCGAGCCGCCGAAGCCGGCTGAGGTCAGAGAGCCCCTGGGGTCCAGGCACAGGTAGGAGGAGGCGTTGCCTGGAGATAAAACCAACACAAAAAAGTTTCAGACTGTTAGATCATCAGAGAGCAGGAACATCAAACCACAGCTTGGTTTAAGTCCACGAAATTAGGCGTCCCTTTGCCATAAAACCTCAGCCAAGCTTTAATCACAAACCACAAATCATTTCACTCATCCCAACCTTCTCCCGCCGGCTTTTAAGGAAACACCAACACATCAGTGTTTTACCTCATTCAGCACCATTTAAAATAACAGAAATCACAGCTTTTTACCACTCTGATAAAAAGAACAATGTCAAGCTTTATATTCAGACTTTTATCAGCTTTATCAGCTTGTCATCACTACATCAGTTCAAGCCATAAATCACAGGGTGAAAGGAAAATCACTGCCACTTAAAATCAGCTGATTTTCACTCTACAGTAACTGTGTAGTGTAACTTCACACTACACAAACAGTCTGAGTTACAGGCCCTCAAATACACAAATCTGTCACTTCTCTTC